CAAATAAAAAATATTCATCGAATTTGGCTTAGTGGGTGTCTAAATATCTTCACTCGAATTTTTAAGAATCAAAACGTCTATCATAAAGAAGAGCTGCGCCTGTGCGAAGATATCTCGACACCCACCAAGCCATGAACATTTTTTATGGAAAATTAAATTTTTACATTATGTAATAATCTTGATATTTTCACTATACTTTAGTACCTTTAATAGTTCAGATGAGGCGTACATGGGTTAAAAATTTTGGCATTTTTGCTTGAAATTTCTCTAAACATTTTAAGCACAACACCTTCTCCTCCATCTCCAATTCCCAAAATCTCGGATCATTCCTATTCTTAATTACTCCATGATGTCCGGCACTTGCTACGCTTTTTTGACATTTCTGACATTCAGTTCATCCACTCCTTTCACTGTCAATATATTTTACCCTAAATTTTTCACAATTTCTAATTATTGCTTTTTTTTTTACTTATTGACATATGTAACTTCATTCGAAACTTACCGTATTCCTCCGAAAATAATCACCCCTTTTTTGCACTTAATGTTGGCCAAAATAGTTATAATTCAGGCCAAATTTTTTATAATGCAGGCCAGGGGTGCTTATTTTCGGAGAAATAAGGTATTTTAAATCTTTAATTCTTTTTATTTTACATATTTTTAAATAGAAGCATAAAATACTGACAAAATACTTTAATCATATTATGTATATATAATAAATATGTTAGTATAATTAAATTTCTTCAATAAAAAGTAGTAAAGATGATCAAAAAAGCATATACTGTATATTAAATATCATACATAGCAATATATTTATTTTGCATTGAGTATAAGCGCACTTCAGATTTTGACATAGCACATATATAAACGTGCGTATTACTATGAATAAAATCTTATTCAAAGAGTATAATTGCTAGTAACAAAATTCAAAGGTTCCGATAAGCTTTTTACTTTGAATATAAATTGCATCAATGAAGCTAAGTAGATATTACAACATTAAAGACTAAAATCATTAGTATAAGTATTATAAATAAACACAAATTACGGCAGTCAATTAACTCTTATAAGCAACAAAATCCAAAAGTTCTGATAAGCTTTTTACCTTGAATATAAATTTTATTGGTGAAGCTAAGTAGATATTACAATATTAAAGACTAAAATCATTAGTATAAGTATCATAAATTACGGTAGTCAATTAACTCTTCTAAGTCCTTACTGCCTTACCATTCTATACATATGTGTTCACATTAATTTTTTTTTTTTCACAACTTGTGCTGTTATGGCCAACTTTACCACAGGTTCGACAAGTATATGGTTGTCGTTGTGCATTCTCTATAGCAGATTTATATCGCTTGGTTTCGGGCCTCCCTCTATGTTTGATGACTGGTAGGTTGGCAATTGTTGTATTATCCTCTTCCTCGCTTTTATTAACCTCATCAGATGATCTTTTGTTTTTGAGAAACTGCTTCTTTTCATTGATAAATATTCTCAGCTATTGGGCCATCTTATCATCATCACACTCTACTGCAAGCTGTGTTGCTTGTCTTGCGAGGCTCCATAATTGACCATATTTAGATAATCAGGCTGTGGCATGCCGATTACTTGTGGCTACTGAATGAGGTATGACATTTGGTTGGGGAATTATTGGTATAGGTTGATTTTGTTGAATTTGGATAGTGTGCTTATTTATGAAAATCACTTTTGATTGATCTATTGTTTCTTTTTTATTGTCACAATACCAACATGATGCTATCATTCTGATATGAAAGCCAGCAACTTTTGATACTAAAAGTACCTGAAAATAATGCTGGCACACGATTCTACGAGAAATATTAGACATATACGTACATAAATAAGAAACAGAATTTATAATAACCACAAAATGCTTTTGTTTATTGTTTTCTGGCCGCTTGTCCATGAGTTGCCAAATTTCTTTAATATTTGTTCAATCAACTTCCATAACCATTGAATTTAATAGAATTTGCCTTGCATCATAAACGTCTTCTATGAATTTATCACCTATATTTTCATTCTGCAAAAAAATAAATTTTACACAAAAAAAAATTGTTAAAATAACATACAAAAAAAAAAAAATCAGCAGTTAATTACTAACATAACAGAACTTTAACCTCGTTATATGAATCGACTATTTCTACTCCAGTTCTTATTACATTAAAATACAAATACTGGGCCATTTCAACATATTCAACAAAAAGAATATGTGACATCAAGTACTCCATTATCATATGACTAATTACAGGAAACATTTCGCTTCCAACAGAGATAATTCCAATACAGTTAGTTAGAGTCTGATATTCGAAGAAATGATTCCATTCTGCCTCCTTTTCTAGTCTTTCATCTAAGGTTTTTACTAGATCACATAAGCTGCTATTACTATGTAATACTTGTTTTATAATGCTGTTATACCCTTCTATGCATGATGTTGTTTGAACTCCAGCAGTAAAGATCTTGGACGTTAAAGCACAGGCTTACGCATAACGACTTGGATATAAAACCCGATTTAAGTAATTTGCAACAAGAGAAAACTTTTGTAATAAATTTTGCCATCTCACTTCAAATAATATATTATCTAAAGTATTACAGCAATGATAAAATTCACTAATAAACTGACCATAGGTGTTACCTTAAATGCAAAAGGTATATAATTAGTTAACAAATTAATTAAAATGATAATCTAAATTAGGCCAGTTAAATCTATTAAAAAAACTTTACAAACTTGTGTTACTGACCTAATTTTGCTTTAAAATGTTTAGGAAGGTTCTGACTTATATGAAAAATACAATGTAATGACTTGGTAGTTGTGTAAACTTGTTTAAGAGTACTGTCCATAGCTGGATTTGCATCGGTAATAAAAACTATCAGCTCAGCACCTGTAGCTTTTTTTGTGCATTGGAGAATCTACTTATAAGAATCAACTGTTTCATCGGATACTAATGCTTGTGCAACCAAGTGAGATCTTGTATTGTTATCAATAATTAAAAATAAACTAAGAGGCATCTGATAACAATTGGTCTTCAATATATTATTATTAGGAACAACATCATGATATTCAAGCCACAGTAAAACTTGTAAGGGCATTATCCAGAAAAGCCAGATAAAACAGTTATCATTGTCTAATTTAAATTCGATGACTCAGCCTGATTCTTCTAAATGTTTTTCAGTAAGAAAAGAAAATAAAGTTGAAGCATCTGCTTCAAGTTTTTGAGATTTGGTTTTAAAGCGTCAGATAGCATTTGCAAGATCTAAATCTGAAAAGACCATATCCGGGTATTTGGCTTTTAGTAATTGATGTTGTTTATCAATTGAGAGATTTTCATTTTTGGTATAAAATTCAATGTCATTCAATGCATCTTTTACAATTGCTCGGAAATTGGTACCATACTTGCTAATTGTAGGATGAAGATCATGATTATAAGAATTGACGAATGTTGTAACTGTAATATACATAGCATCTTTAGGGAGATTTAAGTTTATATGCCACCCACACCCTTGATACTTGGATTTTCGATTATGATAAGTATTGATATCAACATTTTTTTTAGGATTGTATTTCTCTCTGAATTCATATCCAAAAGATCTATGATTTATTGTACCATCGTGACGTTGTCTAACCCTTTTTTTGATTACAGAAAATCCAAAATGTTGGCTATAAGCTTGAAAAAAAGAATCAACATCGCTCCATTTTTGAAATGTGTAACCAACGGATAACAAAGAAAAATCGTAAGATATTTCTCCTAAAGTAATTGCTAAATGCAAAAATATTAGAAAGTGTAACAAATAATTTTACAAATATGTATTGATATGCTTAAAAATAGTACCCTAAACAAGACATTGAATATACACTTACTATTATGAGTTTTGCTATCACTATTACTATAAATTCTATTATAATTCTCACTGCCAATTCTATCACAATTATCTTCACTATGATCTCATAATTAGTCTCATAATTTACTTTATTACTAATGTTACCCTCACTACTAACTCTGCTGATAATTTTATTCCCACCACTGCTATTAACCATATTGATGATACGACTTTTAACTTTCTTATTGAAAGTTTGACTTAGTTAAAAAAAAAACATTGTCAAAATATGAATATAATAGAAGTAAGGTGAAGAAAACTGTATGTAATTGTGTCAAGTTTTTTATATATTCACTCCGATTATTGAATTATTGATTAGTTAAAATACCAAACTAACATCTCAATTTATTTATAGTGTGGAGTGCACAAGTACGTAATAGTAACATAATAGTTTCGACCTGCGGATCAATAGCATAGCGGTTATGCTCCCAGGTTGCAAATCGGATGGTTGCCAGTTCAATTCCTCCCAGTGGTGAAATAATGAAAACCCAAATATGGAAGTGAAACACCGCAGGGTACAGGAAACTCGGGATATCTACAGATGGATGTATTCGGAGAATAGTTATTCCGAGAAGTTGTGGCTGTGAAGCGAGGCGTGTTAGAACCCCAATTTGGAATAACCGAAGTCATGAGATGTACTGTGAGGCCAAAGTTTGAGAAGATACTACAAGAACTTGTGGCGCCACCGGATTGGCTGGTGAAATCCCAGTCTAATATTAAGGTGTTTCAATCTCTCCGGAGTGTCGTGCAGGCGGTCAGATCTAGGCCCCAATAAGGGAACCGGAGAAATGGCAGGCAATGGATCCCAGGTAGATACACATGATTCCCGTATAGAAATTATGGAGGTCCTGTAACACTAGTAGCGTAGAGTCAACTATAAAGATAGCTAGACCAAGTCACGTCTAGACTTGCCGAAGTAATAAAAAAAAAAAAAAACATAATAGTTTCAAATTCTGACCTCAAATTTGGTAATAGCGATAAATTTGCAATATCAATTTTGGTGCGCATATATACCAGAGTACTATTAAGCATATGCCAGGTATAAGCACTACATTATGCTATAGTACTATACTTGGCCTAGTATACCTATTTGTGAAACATTATCCGTTATTATCATATTTTCACAGTATAACGCTTATGAGTGTTATTTCGAGGTTTGGCCCGAATTAAGCTTAATTCGGGCCGAAATTCATAATTTCACCCCTGCACGTTATTTTGCAACAATATGGTACCCATACCCATAACAAGATTAAGTGTTCACTGTGGCAAACTTTTTCTAAGCTTTGTGTTGAAATATTTAGACACTCACCAAGCCAAATTCGATGAATATTTTTTATTTA